GGAGGTGGGAGCTAAACGTGGACAGATTAATGTGCATCACAGCAGGAGTCTGTCTGCTGTGGTACGATTGTTGAATTAGGCATTGCGATGTGATTGGAACAGAGGTGGCCAGAGGACTGGACTGAAAGATGTAGAACTCATCAGGCAAAGGTTAATTTAATACCACGGGGCATGATTAGTTTCAAGTTTAAACACTCATGCACACTCTGTTACACTATTTTCCTGGGAGTGAACATTTTCAGAGGCCACTGAATGGCTTAGTGGTTACAGAGACCATTCCTCTGATGGAGAACCTGGGTTCAAGCCCCAGCAGGTCAACGAGCAGTCCTCCTGCTGAAGTGTCCCCAGAGCAAGAAACTAAAGTCCTCCCAGCTGCTGTCCAGGCTGACCCTGACCTCTGACCCCACTGTGGAGGGAGCCAGGGAAGAAGCAAAAGGATTTCCCTTTTAGGGGTGGAACAAACATTCACATTATTATCGGTGGGCTGAGCTGATGACATAAAATATGACGGTTTTTTGGGTAGAAGAGACCATTTTGTATAGATTTTACTTTAAAAACATTATGATAATGATAATGGCTCTAACTACTCCCAGGTCAGGGTGGGGGTGTTGGTGCTGATGGTAAGTAAACAGAATTGCAATTGTGTCATTTCCATGTTATTATGCTATTTCTTTTTACAGCATGCTGTAAAAGAAGTGAATGTAGAGTAGTATTGCTTAAAAGTGCGCAGGTTGAAGAATAACATGGAAAGAGAAAAAGCACTTAACCAAACAGGCTTTTCCCTACTGTACCATGTAGTCACTATGTCCTTTTAAAAGAAACACAGCTGCAGGTTATACTTTATAGGACATGAGGATGAAAAGAGGCTGTTTAAAATGATAATTTAATCACAGTTTAAACATTTCATCTACTACTACACTTTAATCCTAGAAACATGTTAATTTACTGAGCCCACGAGGTGACGTAAATTATTGATGAATCAACCCTAGATTAGTATCTCATACTCTTGAATAACTTTCTTTCCTCGAATGAGTAACTCTTGTACTTAAATTTAGTGCAGTATAACACTGTAAACATTAAAGGGATAAGTTCAGTATAGACTAAAAATAGGCTCAACCAGGCAACAGCCACTAGTGGTCAGAGGATCATACAGGCTGAAAACAAAATCCCAGGCTAATCACATGTAGCTGAAAGAGTGAACCAAGTCCAGAAGTGACACTACAATTCAAATCTCTTTATTGTTAACATTTAGTCTGAGCTTACAGCCTGAATTCCTGGTTGATTGGTTCGTAGAGTATACCCCTGCAGTCTAAATAGGCCCATAGGCCCCGCCCCCCCACCACCGCCTGACAATGGTTTATATGGTCTATGGAGAAATGCTTTTTGGGCAGCAGGGGATTTTTTTCACTGCAATACCTCAAGCGGCCACTGGGGAAAAAATGGCTGCAAGGATGCTGTCATGTTGCAAAATCTTAGCAATTACTTTGGTGAGTACAATGTTATCATGCTATTCATTGAATCAAATAACAAATACAAGTGATGGAGAGAGCTACAAAAACAAAAAAAAAACAAGGTCACAATAAACTATGGTTGTCCTTTAATACCTGTAATACCACCATGTAGAGTAGATAACGTACGCCCACATGATACAGTGCTGCTTGCTGATTTTGCATCACGAGTGGATATGTCGGTACATGAATTAAATATTTAAGTAAGTGATTCTGCAGCACTGCAGCATACTGGTATTAACAGGTGAAGCTCTAAAGTCCACCCAGATTCATTTGCTCTAATCCTGCATACCTCATCCCATCTCTAACCCTTCACAGAGCACTCACACAGCCCTATGGAGCCAAAGTTATTACAGCAACGACCACCAAATGGTGTTTGCTGCATGTTTGTTTAAGGTTGTTGTCGTACTAAATTCTTAGCTGTCTGTGTCCCGGGAAAGCTTTCATTTGCCTCCTGTGATGTATTAGTTGATGTCCTGTGACCTCCACTAAGACTTCAAACATTTTCAACCTTTATAAAGTCCTTCTCTCAGCTGAAAAAGAGTGATAGTTGGAAAAGTGAAAAAAGAGCAGAATCATATCAGCCCACCCTAACACACTAACTAAGCTCATACTGTGCTCTCCGTGGCTTTGATTTTCTTTTTTTCTAAAAAAAAAACAAACAAACAAAAGACAGCAACTGAAACCGGAAACTATTCCCAATGCCTCTGTCCATTGAAGAAAGCAAACTAGAGAAGCACTATCATTGCCCCCCCCCAAACAGAACAAGCTGTTGCTCTACAGACATGCAGCCCCCCCCCCCCCCACCCCCGTTTTCGGACACCCTTAAAATTTTACACAATCTCAAATATTATCATGAAATATTTGTGGAAAAATCTTTTTTGTGTTTCAAAAGGTGTGGCTGCATTAGACAGATACAAACAAATACAAATTATATTTTTTTGTTTATTGTTTACAAGAAAAACTAACAAAACTAAATTCTTGACAGTTTCAATATGTCAGTTCTCAACATTGTCGGTATCAAAGTCAACAAATAACAGAGAATGTGTTCAAAACTGAACAAAAAATAAATAAACCATCACATCATCAAATTAATATTTAGTAGTCCTGCCATTGGCACGTAGTAGAGCTCTAATCCTGGCTGGCATGTTCCCCACGAGCCTTTCACACTGTTGAGGGGTAATCTTGTCCCATTCTTCTTGAATTACTGCTTTTAATTCTTCTAAATTCTTTGGTTTATGCTTTGAAACAGACCTTTTGATAATCCACCACAGATTTTCAATGGGGCTCATGTCCGGGGATTGAGCTGGCCACTCTAAGACCTGGATACTGTGCTCCTGCAGCCAAGTTCTACTGGCCTTGGATGTGTGGCAAGGGGCATTATCTTGTTGAAACATCCAGTTTTTACCTCGACGGAACAGTGCACGCGCAGAAGGGAGCATGTGGGTTTCGAGAATGGTACAATACTTGGTAGAGTTCAATGTGCCATCACAGACAGTGAGATGACCAACACCAGCAGCACTCATGCATCCCCAAACCATGATACTGCCTCCACCATGCTTGACAGTAGGTACTGTACATGCTGGAGATAATGCTTCGCCTGGCCTTCTGCGTACCCTCACATTAGTAGGAGGAAGATAAAGCTGGAAACTGGACTCATCTGACCACAAAATCTTCTTCCAATTCCTGGCTGTCCAGTTCTTGTGTGCCTGGGCCCAACGACGCCGGGCTAACCTCTGTCTCTCATTGATCAGGGGCTTCTTGATAGCCTTGTAGGACCTTAAGCCATGATCTAAAAGTCGGCCACGTACAGTGCGGGTGGAACACTGGACACCAGTTTGGTTTGACCACTGCTGCTGAAGCTCCTGTGATGTCATTCGGCGGTTTTGCCTGCACATGCGGATCAGGATGCGGTCATTTCTTGCTGAAGAAACCCTTGGACGCCCAGATCTTGGTTTGTCTTCCAAGCTGTTGGTTCGTCTGTATTTCTGCAGAGTGTATCCAACTGCTGAAGGACTGCATCTGCACTTCCTGGCTATCTGGCGGCAGCTGTACCCTTCCTGGCTGAGAATCTTTATCTTCAGGCGTGTTTCCTGCGTTAGGTTCCTTGTTTTAGCCATTTTTGTGTCTGAAGAACTTTCAAATGTGCTGGCTTTATGTAGACACGAAGCTTGGCAACAAAAATTGTGTCTTTTAATAAAAAGAACGACCTTCATCACTGGTACCAAAATGACCCAATACTCAAAATTTCTTATGTATTTTCATGGAACCAATCAATTTGAAGTTTTAATGGCTTTTTTAGGATTTATTTAGTATTTTGGCTGTGACTGTACTAAAAGAAATTGCACTTGAAGACCTAAGAGTGATTCTTAATGCAATATTTCACAAATGCATGGGGTGTCCGAAAACTTTTTTCCACCACTGAATAATGATCAACATATGTTGTAATTGCAGGTGAATTGTCCCTTTAATCTATTGTTTTATACATTTGGAGGTAAATAGACAGTTGATAAATCAGTATTTCGCTGGTTTAAAGGTCCGGTGTGTAGGGACATCTATTAGCAGAGATGGAATATCATAATCATAACTATGTTTTCATTAGTTTATAATTACCTGAAATTAAGAATCATTGTGTTTTTGTAACCATAGAATAAGTCATTCACATCTACACACAGAGTGGGTCCTTTTCCACGGCGTCCGCCATGTTGTTTCTACAGTAGCCCAGAATGAACAAACCAAACACTGGCTCTAGATAGGGCCATTCATGTTTTCACATCATGTGGTTTTGCATCAGCCACTATACTTCTCCTACACACTTGGCATATGGGAGAAGTTTCAGTTATACAATCTCACCACTAGATGCCGCTTAAGTCTACACACCAGACCTTTAAGTTAAGGTGTATCTGTTATTGATTCCTTTGAAAAGTAATGTTCCCAAGCACGACACTCTGCATGTGTATGTGAGAGAGAGTGTAAGACAGTGAGTGTTCTGATGGTTTCCATGGTGATCTGGCAGATTGTTCTAATGATGTCTGACGCCCCGCAGACAATCAGCGTTTTCCCAATAGAGCCCACTGTAATTGGTCCCAATAGGGGAGAAAATGAATTTAATTTAACTTTATTATTAGTATTCATAATTTTTTTGGAAAGTTGAGAGAAAATCTGTCAGAGAGCTCTCAACGAGTCATAAATCATAAGAGAGCAAATTAGATACTGACAGTGTGAGGAGTGCAGCTGGAGTCGAGTCTTTTCAGAAATTAATTAACAATAGAAACCTGTAAAGTTGAGGCACTATAACTGATACTCTAGTGTCAAACCATGTCTTACAATATTATGTACAATTATGTTTATTTAGTATTTACTCAACTTTGGATCATTTTCAATTTACATCTACTCTGGTTTCTTTATTTTGTCTCCTCTACCTCAGAAAATGATGAGCAACACATGTGATTTGAAGTGCATTCATGTTTAGTCAGACGCTAATGTATTTACCTGACTTCACTTTCTTTAATGTGCCCCGCCAGTTCTTCAACAAACTTTTCTCCTTTCATCCAGTAGATAATAGGTCGTCTGTTTTCTCCACTGTAACCGAAAAACGCCTTGCAGTCCAGACTGAGAGGCATACCTGCAACACAAGATACAACACTGTTACAATACAGATAAGCCCACCCTGAGCAAAAAGAAGAAGGTTAATGAGGAAAGCTGGAGAATTACGGTAAAATTAAATTCTTGTGGCTGTTCAGACAGCCTGGCCTCACTCTTAGGGGCTGTACACATGACGCGTGATTTGCGCCCTAAAATCCATTCTTTTCAATGTAGACTCATGGCCGGTGCGCTCAAACTCCAGAGCGACGCCATCGAGGTGTGCATGCGTTTCTGGGAGCCTTTTTATCAGGGCACGACGGCTGCGCCCTGAGATAAACCAAGTTCAATTTTTGGAAAGCAGCTGTGCCCCTTAGGCCATCAAATACTGACACTTTTTCACGCCCCTCACTGTCTGATACCAATGCACAAGGCTTCCTTTCTATATTAGAGGCATCATGCTTCCGACTAAAATCCACGTTAACCTATCTGCAGCAATATTTGACGTTCCAAGCAACTGACACACTATAAAAAGCGAGGAAATCCACAGAGGTCGGGCTGGATGGATGGGTCAAACAAACACAGGACTTTAGCACAGGAGACACATACTTACCCAAAACGTGATCTTAATCTATCCAAGTAGTTTTGATGCCTAAACATAATGGCAACTGTTTCTCATTAACCATGTCCCAACCATGGATGCATAAAGAGAACTGGATACAGTGTTGAGAGAGAAAGGGGGGGATTATGGAATTTAATGTCAAATACAAAGAGGTATATTGTTACAACGTACCCCAGTACTGGGGTGAGTTGTAACACTAGCTGGGGATGGATGTAACAATTAAATTATTGTGCTTAAAAAAGATTCATAATAGGCTAAATGTATTTAAGTATTTCAATGAATAATAAAGAAGGAACAATAAACTTGTAAGTATACAATAATTATAATATTAAAATTAATAGAAATGTATAACATAAATACAAAAAAGTTTGACGTTTGAACAGCATTTGAACAGTTGAACAATAAACACTTTCGAAGAGTAACTATTATCTGAGCAAACTAAGGCATAATACCTATAGCCTATTTTAATCTGATTGGCAGTTGTGGCAAATGTAGATGTCCTTGCCTGGGGTGCAGGCTTCGTGGGTCCAAAATCCCCACTTTTTAAGAACTGTTACAACCCTCCCCATGCCTAGCAGTTATGAAAGAGCTAACTGTTTTTAGCATTTAGCTTCAAAGCTAGCACTAATGAAACACATCAAATTAAACTAGAGAAACTACTACTTGAACCTATGTAAGNTTTTTAGCATTTAGCTTCAAAGCTAGCACTAATGAAACACATCAAATTAAACTAGAGAAACTACTACTTGAACCTATGTAAGCGAAACAATTGTACGTACAACACAATGGACACTACGCAAAAAACAATTGTGATGAAAATGTTTGGTTTCTCACCTGAAAAACTGTTTTTTGGCTCTAGAATAGACAAATTTGGACTCAGAGACATGTGGCTTCACCAGTGAGCTCCAATTGTAAATGGGGATGGACTATGCTGATGATGTCACCACAGCTTGTTTCTAATTGGCCAAACTGAGAGTGTTACAGCTAGGGTTGGGTCGGTTCTCAGTAATACCAATTCGGTCCGGTACTCCGTCTTGGACCGGGTTTTATTTTTTGAGACCGACCGACCGCATACTCAGGCGTATGCGGAGCGGACGCCACGGAGGTGCGCCCGGTAAAAGTGGACGTCCGCAAGCCCTGTGCGTGCAAAGCACGAACGCGCGGACTCCACTCCGTGCACCAGTGTCACACAAAAGACTGTTCGGCATGTATTTTTCACATCGCGGGGATTTTTCACGGACATTTTTACACGTAGTCCGCTCCGCTTATAGTAAGCCCGAGTCTGTGAGCACCTGTGTCTGCCTCTTCACCAAGCACACAGCGAGCAGGAGAGAGAGGGGGGTGGGGCGGGGACTGAGCTAGGAGGTGCGAGTGCGCATGCGCCTCTACTGTAGCCTGGAGTTTGTTTAATAGTGACGGGGAGTTGATAATGGCGGACAATTTAGTTGCGACGAAATCAAGGAATGCGCCACTATGGCAACACTTTGGCTTAGAGCCAGACGAAGGAGGCAACCCTTGTTTGCACTGATTGAGTAAGCTGCAAAATTTATTTGTAAGGAATAAAAGAAACAACTTGTTACTGTCACTCTGTTGTCCTAAGGTCATTTTTTATTTTAAATGAGTCAACTGCGCCCCCAAGTGGCGAAAATCCGGTATTACCGACTTGATGCGTTTTTTTACAAAAACCGGACTGTTTTTTTTTCTCATACCGACCCAACCCTAGTTACATCTATCCCTTTGTTACAACCATCCCCGGTCTCCCCTACCCAACTTCCAATTTAGCTCTCTGCTAACTTGAATGGGGATAAAATTATTTATTGTGTGGCTTTTCAATACTATTCAACCAAATGGATCCTATCCCCATAGTGAAACCAGTCATTTTGCAGGGGTTGGGATGCTCAAAAAAATGTATCAATGTAAACAGATGTCCAATGTAAACTTGGGAAAATCTAGTTTTGGGCCCCATGTCATCATGTCATGAACCTTGAAGTTGTTGTTACACAGTTTGGCCGCTATTTCAAATTAGCTCCAAAGTCTGGGGACATTGATACGTGTTTCACCCAGGAGACAGCTGTGCCTCTCATACAAAAGCTAAACGGTGCCTTTTGCATCGGTTTTAGAGGCCAAGGAAGCATCACAAAGCATCTGTATTTGACAACCTGGGCATGAGAACAGGTTGGCTCAGGGACTTGGAGGTGATAGAAGCTTGCTGCCCCCCCTCAGTGATCAATGCAGAGAGCTCCTGTATAGGAGGTGTGCAGCAGGGTGCCTGCTTGGAGCCCCTTGAATTGGGGTCATCAAGCAATCCTGGTGGTAGTGCCCTGTTGTTTATCATGTAAGTCATATAATTTTATTAAAATTTCAATTTATGGCGCAAAACTGTAATACTGAAGAAGAAATCAAAGTATCATGTAAATGGCCAGTTCACACAAATTACACAGTGCCTTTAACAATCAAAGTCAAATTGCATTCACCTTTATTGCAGTAGTGGTCATAGGAGAAATCATTCAAATCTCACAGAAAACCAAAATTATACTCCATGTATTATTAAATTAAAAAGAAAAAAAAAGGAAAATGTGTAGTGAACAGAGATGTCAAATTGCTATTTCTCTCTGTTTGCCTTCAAAGCATAATGTGAGTCAATGTTGAATTACTCTTTAAACTACAAACTTAACAAAGAACCAAAGGAATTATGCACTGTAATTAATTAATCCCTATCACCAGAAGAGATATTGAAGGATTGTTCTAATGCTGAAACTTTTTACTTTTTATGGCATCTGCACCTAACAGTAACTGTGGTAGCGTTAAGGTTAGGGAATTATCACTGACAATATAAAAAGGGCTTACATTAATTGCAGGTTCTTGACAGGGCACAAAAATCCAGTCTCATGCATGAAAGTAAGATGAGCTATATGCTTAAAAAAGGCTCAAATTTGTTTATTTTATAGGCAGTTTACTGTGTTGGAAGAGCTACATGCAACAGGTTCTATGATTCAGTACTTATACTGTAATATGTGAGCCTACAGCTGGAAGAAAGAATTGACAATAGTAGAAAGACACACTTAGTAAGCACACATATGTATGCAGACAGTATCCACACACGCTCTCACACACCCTCCTGCAAGACCTTGAAACCACCACTCTGTGATTACAGCTATCAATGGTGATGATGGAGTATTAATGAGCATTCCAATGAGCGCTACCTCGTTAGGCAGTCAATTAGCAGATAATTATGATAGACCTCAGTATTATCATAATGATAGCTCTATCAGCACAGTCTAGAACCAACACTGAATGCTAACGTTATGCGCATATCTGTGTGTTTTTGTCAGACAAGCACTTGAACTGAATGTTAACACTGAACTAAATATTTACATTTGAGACATTTACTGTGGCAGACACTTTTATGTAGAGTGAAGAGGAAATGCAGGTGCTCCTGTGCGAGTTTTGTCCTTGTCCAAGTTAATCCCTGAAATTACAATTCTTCAAAAGAATTTCCAAATGTTTAGAGCAGCAAGAGGTAGAAACTTTCACAAACTGGTTATCGGTTGAATAAACATGAGGTTTTATCAATTGGTCATGGCAAAATGCAACTGTTTTCATATGGAAATGCTGGATGATTGCTTCATGTTTGGTTTCCTTTGCTTCACTTATTCTGATTGATGGGAAAAAGGGGGGAAGACAGAAGGCTTTGACGTTTGTCTGTCTCTCCAAATTATAATTTCTAACAAGCCAAGAGATGAAGCGGTCTGCAAAGCTTCATAGATCCTGTGTGTTTGTGTTGATGGGCTCTCATGGTGTGTTTGCTTGCCTTTGTGCTGAGGCAGCCAGCATCCTGTACTACACACACACACTGCAGGAAAGAAACCCTGAATTAGAGTGAAATTAGTTTAGCTTGATTGTGTGTTTGTGTCCGTGTGTGTGTATGTAGGTGTGTGCTCCACAGTAATTGATTAGCACCCTGAGGGTGTGTTTGTGTTCTCAGCATGTTATAGTGATTAAAATCATCAACTTTGTTTGCACTTGTGTGGCATGAGCCTGTGTGTAGGTTGTGCTTCGTGTGAGTGTGTGTCAGTCTCCTTCAATCAGAATTACCAGCCCTGAAATCTGGTGTCATATAGCCGAGCTGATTCATCATTTCTATTTGTGGCTAAAGCAGCAGGGTGTTTATTAGACCTCAAAAAAAGGTTGGTGCTATGTCGTTGTCATTAATATCAAAGAAAGACTTTGTACAAATGATTGATGGGAGCTTTGTCAAGTCGGTGCCTCAACACTTTGCAGTGCTGCTAAGTGTGATCACACCTAGATGTCATTTCCATTGGTGTGAAGCATATATGTAATAAACAAAAGTCACATGACTCGTGAGTCACAACCAATCTGAATCCAGTCTTTGTAAGTTTAGTTCAGCCTGACAGACTTTA